AAATATTTTTTCTCGGGTATGTATTGGTTACAAGAAAAATACTATTAGTCTTCATTTTATCTTTTTCTTTATACTTATACATACATTAAGGAATCTATGAATAATCTATGAATAATCTATGAATAATATTCTAATCATATTTACACACATAGTTCTATGGTATACCTTTTCCATAAACTTCATTAGAAAACAGCGACCCATCATCAAGAGTATTGTTTAATTTCAATGTAACAGACTTCATTGAGCCAGTGTCTTCTTGAAGAATATAGTGATTAATTCCCATTATTAAAAAATCCACCTGAAAATCTCCAACAAACTGCAAAAAAAGTTCTATAATGTGACCGAGTATTAAAAATTCGAATCAGAGCTAAAAACTGATTGATTTGCTGTTTCTAAAGACTTTTCTATTTTACTTTTTGTAACACCTAAATTATATTATTTTCATGTCAAACATTTCCTAAGAGAAAAGCATATATATGTAGTTTGAATATTTTTAAAAATGTTGGAAATTATTCAATATAAAAACAAAATCAAAAATATAAATACAAATATCAAATTTTATTATTTTATTAAATATTATGAATATATATATTCTTTATAAAGAAATATTGAATTTCATTATTTTATTAAACATTGCGGACGCAAAGAATAATGTGTTTTCAAATTCTAATAAAACTATAATTACGGTGTTCTTATGATTCCTGAGTATATATATTCAAATATAAACAATTAAAAATAGCGAATCTTTAATATGCGTACAAATACAAAAACCAATGCATCTTTAAATAATAAAAATTTATATTAATATGTTTTACAATTGTTGAAGAAAGTATAATCTTTGTGACTCTAAATTAAACACGTGCCATCTTTCTTTCAGTTCGATCTTGATATTTTTTATAAAAATTTCATATTTAATTGTATTTAATATTGACATTATTTTAAACTTAGATTATAACGTATTTTAAAACTTTTTTTTTAAAGGGGCATTCATGCATGTGTAATATTTAAATAACCTTGTCGAGTAAGTATGATTGGATGAACATAGTAAGTCCCTCTTTTAACCATTGATAGGACCACCAAGATGGAGTAACCAAATTGCCAATCCATTGATGTATAATTTCATGAGTTACTATCGTCGCTGTTTTTGTTGCCTTATACTTTGGTTGTTTGATATCATTATAGATAATTCCTAATTCACTGAAGGATAGAATATAACATAATATAATTATATAAAATATATCTACGGTAAATATACAGTCTAATGTGTGTAATATTACTGTGACCCTTTGACAATATCATATCCTAATAGCACAAACCTCCACGCGACGTCCTTAGAACGTAAGGGATATCCCCAGGATATATCCCGTATAAAGTGTGCTATTAGGGTACTGATGACCATAATTTATGTAACTTATATTATGTAGTTGATGATCATAATTTATGTAACTTATATTATGAATCTATTGTGATATGAATGTGACATTTTTTGCTGTGAAAGTGTGCATTTTTTAAGTATCTATGAAAATGCACATGTTTTGAATTACTAAAATTTGAATGCTAACAGAAACAATGGCTGACTTTTTAATAGCATAATGTATTTTTATAATAATTATTTATACTACCTATAAATGATAAGTCCCCAATTTTCCATACCAAGAATCGGAAAATTCGGTATTATGACGTGATCCATTTTCGGTACTTTTTCAGAACTATTAGTATATTCAATTAAAAGAGGCGGGATTCTTTGAGCAACACTATGCGCCAATTTTATTTGCGATCTCAAAGACGAGTTACACCAAATGTTAATGGTTTCGTCCGCGTTGGAAACACGGATGAAATCAAACTGGGGGATTACGACAATCGCCACAAGATAAGTGGACATTATAGGAGTAGTGTTGAAGTGCGTCAGCATCATGTCATCTTTTTCCAATTGCTCTTGTATTGGCATATTTGACAATACCCTATATTTCTGATGATGCATTACAGATATGCTAAAGGTGGCTTTTAATGCTGGCTCGTCCCAACATGGAAACATTCGTCTGGCTCCATTCGGTTCGAAATGCGTTGCAGCCATCCACCTTATACAATTTAATAAAATATCTTAAATCTCAATAAATTTACTATTTTTATGATAGATAACATAAGAATTTAGAAAATATTAGTGTTTATTATTATATATTATAGGATAGATCCAGAGGCGAACCGAATCACAGAACGAATCGGTTTTTAAGTATATAATTGTTATGTTTAAACAATGATTTATCGAGCCTTACATGTTATGGTAACGATGACAAAAGCAAAAAAATTGTAAATAATATTTACATTATAAAAATATTTGTAATATTTTAATATTTACTTACATTTGGTTTCCTTCTTTATTTGTGTACGGAAATTTCATGAAACCAATTTGTACAGAACCAATTTCAGATAGAATACCAACAAATTTTAAGTTAAGATTGTAATAACCGGGCGATAATGTATTTTTGAAATTAATTGTTAAAATATTCGTTAGATTGTCATGAGTATGTTCCATCGGTTTGTAAACTGTACCCTTATAATTAATCAATGTTGTCGCCTTTTCATTTATTTCTAATTCTCTCGAGTGTAAGCTTATATTTTTCGATGCATGATGAATCACGATTTTGACACTGGATTCGCCATGAAAAGTAGAATTGTCTTCCTCGAGATACGGTGTCAGTTTGATCTTATAGTGAATTGGTATCGTGTTGACGGATAAACGACGTATAATTTCAAAATTATCATTGATGCAAAAACTCACACCATAATTAAATATTAAGCCAATATTTAATAACAACTTTAAGACTCCCATGTCGATCCTTGATTGTTTAATGTATCTATGATTTTTCGTTGGTTTATAAATTAAAATTTAAAAAAAAGAGAAACAAATGATAATGCAGGCTAAATTGTAACTTAATTAATTTTTATATAAATATAAAAAAGAGAGTGGGAAAAAATAATTTTAATTACTTTTATTAAGATAATCATACATAAGATCTAGTTTGGGAAAATCATTTCTTAATTTTTTTCTATTATATATATTTGATATTGAATATACTTTAATGTATTTGAAATTAATTAATCTTATCTCTTTTGTAGAATTTAAGAAACAAGATAAAAGATCAATTTAAAAGATTAAATTTATTTAATTAAATTAAATTTAATTTTAGGCATGTAAGTAGCGTGTATATATATTTCGCTGTATAGATTTGTCATCAAAAATAAGAAAACATGGTCACTGTGTTAGTATAATGTGATATTTGAATTGCTTAATTATCGATTAGAGCAGTTGTTCGAAGAATAAAAAGTTTAAATCTATTTCTTAATTCAATTTATCTTTTCCAATATACATATTTTTGCCTAATATTTATTTAACGTTTATTAAAAATTTCTTAAGAAAAACGATTTTCTCTCTCTCGAAAATTATTAGATTGAATTTTATATAATTATTATAATTACCATATCTTAATTTTCAAATAAATAGGTCGTTAAAATATAATAATCGATACCCAGATAGCACAAGAGTTCAAAAAGAATTCAGTAATATGTCATCAATTCTGAATTCATTTTCAAATGCAAAAAGAATTTGTTTTCTGAAAAGAATTCTTATTGCATCTGAAAATGAGCTCAGAATTGATGACATTCAACTGAATTCTTTTTGAATTTTTTTGAACTCTGTGCTATCTATATAATATATATATTTTTTTATATTTTCAAGAAATAAACATCTATTTATTATTTTTTTAACTTACTTTGTATATTATACCTGGTGCAGATTAAAACACAGTAATTAATATCAAGAATCTACAGCATAATTGCTGTTCTCGTTTAGCCGTATCCGTGAATACTGACTACAATGTCAATCTTTTATGCTATAACAAACATGTCATGTAAATATGTTTCAAGTTTATCAATATGTATGATGTCATTTACCAAATTTACCAATTTTAAACTTGAATTTTTCGTTCTCGATAACGAATATTGAGACTTACAAAGCCATTGGTCGCGTTCAGCAGATTCAATTGTTGCGGAGTGGATCCGTGAGCAACGCGATCCGCGATCTCGCTGTTATTGGATGATAGAAGAATACACCAATAGCAACGAGCGCTCACGGATCCGCTCCGCAACAGTTGAGTCTACTCCTGTATGCGACCTTTGTGTAATAAACAATTGAATACAAGTTTTTTCAGAATTTAATCTTTTCGAGAAATTGAATAATAATTATTTTATAATTAATAAAAATAATATAATATGAATATATTTTATAGTTCATTTTATGCAGATTTTAATAGAAACTTATTTTGCAATATTATAAATTTATTTTGTATTATAATGTAACATATAATGAGAATTGAAAAATTGCAATAAACAACTCATGCAAGATAAATACGATTTCTTCTAGTATATTGATAACTGTAAGGAACAGTCGATTTCAATAATAAATACTAAAACAATTTAATGATTATATGCTATAAAATGATTTTTTATTTTTTATTCTGTTCAGTCAATTCAGAGATTTTTATACGACTCTCTCTGTAATGTCGATAATTTAGTCGCTAAATAGGATTTAAATCTTCACTAAAAAAAGGTTTATATTTTCGTTAAGAAGATTTAAACCTTTTCTAATAGTAAAAACGCATTCTTCTTCGTTAAATTCCTGATGATTGGTAATATAATATTTGTATTATTTCTGATGTATAGGAAATATAAAAAAAAACTATTTTAGAGAGAGAAATACAAGATTTGAAATATTCAATAAATTTTATTTTGTATATTTTTTTATGTCATATTAATACACACATACACACACATATGTATTTGTGTGTAAAATATATATATATGTATATCAACAATTATTCCAATTATATTGTCAATTGTCATTTTCATTTAAAAAATGTAGAGATGTACTTTCAATTCTTTTTTTAAGTATTATCAATACACATTATTCATATATAATAACATACATTTTCCTGCAAATGTAGGTAATAGTTTTGTACTGTGAATATCACAGATAATCATATTATGTGAATTGCGTCATAAAGTATAAATATTGCTTCCAATTGCAAGTATGTACAAATAAATTAATTTAACGGCATGTCCGTTTCCTAAATATAAAAATCTTTTATCGTAGTAGAGGAATCTGCATATGATTGGCTCTTCCAGGTTTGCGCTTTACTTTCTGATATTATCTTGGGATTGGCAATGTTAATCAGCTCCTTCTGCTTGGTTTCAAGAGATTTCATATATGCAAGGAAACACGTCCAGATAAAACTGCATATACTGACATATACAACACGATTTCGCTCCGGAATTAGGATGAAATTGATGGTTTGGAGAATTGGCCATACGCAAATGGCAATCTAAAAAGAAAATTATCTCACGTTAATCCACTTAATTACAGACTTGAAAATACATCTATCGAGGATATGATACCTTGTATGTTGGCCAAAATTTAATTTTGACCTCGTCAATGCATTCCGAAACTGGCTTTAATTCAAGAAGGCTCATGCCAAAGAAGAAGGAACACATAGCTGCAGGACCATATGTAACTTGTTCAATCAAAGCCTGCGATTATTATTCAATTATATCATTGTTAGTTAATGTTCATTGAGCTATTTTTTATTTCCATGAATAAATTCATTATACAACAACATTGAATAACATAAATTATTCAATTTTCGTTATATGTGCATACCTTAGTGATTGCAGACTTCAAATTTGCTTTCGGCCAGAAGTGAGATGCATATTTCAGCCAGCAGTATAGTGTAGGAGCTACATAGAGACCACCGTATAGACCGAATCGCATAGCTTCCATGTAATTAAATTCTTCTTTGCCCATTATCTTCTGTTGCAACAGATTCGCAGTTGGCCATATAATCAAGTAGGATGCCATGCCTCGAACAATAGGATACTTCTGCGAGATCTCACGGAATTTTACGAATATGATCCTCATTTTTGGTGCTTAGGCTGCAAAAATGTAAATATTTGAAATTACCATTTTTACTATATTCATAAAAAATTATATAATCAATACATTATTGAGGTATATACTATGTAATGATAATTAATTCTAAATAGATTGTGATTTTCAAATGCACTCTATAGACCCGGAAATAAAGGGAACAGGCATTATCGACCGTCAATATAAAAATATTTGTATAATTTTTATATAATATATATTTAGGGGGATCCTAAAGCCGTCTGTATTACTGACTAAATCGTAATTTTTGTACAATTACTTTTTTCCTGTTTTACAGATTCGAAAATCCTTTTACAGGATTAAAATATACCCATTAATACGTGTCTGTGAGGTGGAGTTTATGTTGAGAACGACAACAAATTTCGAAATTGAAATCTTAAGTAAAATTTTTTACGTTCTCGGTATAAACTCCACCTCACAAATACATATTAATGTGTATACTTTAATCCTAGAAAAAGATTTTCGAATCTGTGAAAGAGAAAAAAAGTATTTGACACAAAAATTATGATTTAGTCGGTAATACAGACGGATTCCCTTAAACTCATATTTTATTATTATTTATATAAACGTTTCAAATACTTATAACGCAACATTGTCAATACATAGCTACATAAATTTATTAAAATTTCAATAATCACACAAATTTCTATAAATTTATAGATCTTTGTATTTTTTTTTTTTTTTGTTAAACTCAAACCGGAATTCGAGAAAAAAAAAATTAATTTTTGAACAGTGCACTAAATTATATAGTCAATAATCCGAATGCATTTCAGGAAAATTGCATAATATATTGTTTAATTTGGAAAAAATACTAATTACTGAAATTAATATTCTACAGAAATTTCAGAGCATTGTTAATATAATCACTTTCTTTTTTATAAATCTTCAATTAAATCTCGATTAACTTAAATCGACGAGTTTAGCCGGCAAAATTAGAGCAAAACTTCGGACTATATAATTCATCATTCCTGATCATTCCTTATCTCTAATCTTTCAACAAAAAATATTTCTATTACGTACCGTAAGTTCGTTGGATTACTTGATAAATTAATTGTTACTCAAGTTAATCGGAACTTGGTTGAAGTCATCAGTTCATCTATAGCGTGGCTACAAACAATCGATTTATTTTTTAAAAATCCTAATATAACGCACGAGTTCCACAACTTTCATGATGCATTACATCATAATCGTCGCCCAATGGGCCATGGGGCCGCGCTATAATCGGTTACCTTCCGTGGTGTCACACAGGGGAGCGGACGTAGAGGTACCGAATGGTACGACGCTCCTTGGAGAACGCTGCGTTTGATTTTGACAGGCTGCGTGCGTATGCGAAGCCGGATTTGATGGACCGTTGCATCTGGAGATCTCGCGTTACTCTCGCTACGACATGACTTGGACGACTGACCAGACTGATTGCAACGACTACAACCAAGTGCCCCCCCCCCGATCCCCGACGTTGACGGAACACGTGTTGATGACAGCTGGCGATGACGAAATCAGTCGATCCATTCTTATCTGTCCTTGGTATACGTCATCCGTCGATACAGGCACTTTTTCGTTGAATCGCGTTGCACAATCGTCCGGTCACTGTTGCGTAGCTTTCTGGTAATGCAGAGCTCGAGAGGAGTCGATAATATTGGTATCCCACAATAGTGCGATGTGCATGTATATATAATCATAAAAAACGAAATGTCGAGTTTCTGTAGTCGTATATTCAGATAATATAATCAGACATGAGAGCTGTATTATGAAATACAATTGACTTGATCTTGCAATAAAGATATATTGTACATAAATATAAACTAGAGCTACGAGTTGCTAGTAGTAAAGATCCAAATATAATCAATAAAATATTAAAAAATTTCGAATGAGCACGTACAAATACGTTAATATACATTCATTCTAGTCACGTCACCTTTTGTAGAATACATCAGGGATATGTGCATGTAAGTTCTTACAAAAATCCAATATTTAAAAGCTTGCTTCATAACATCGTGCATTGCAATATATAGAAAATTCTATTCATTTTGATTATACGCATTCATCAATGTCTTTTCTTAAATGGACAATTATATATTTTCATTGAACGATATTTATGAAGCAAACATGAAGCCGAAAAGCTACGAGGATAATCTATAAATCTTTATAAAAAATGCCTTTAAAACTTTGAATTAGTCTCAGTAATGTACCAAATAAACAGCGGTCAGAACAGGTTGTATATCTTCACAATACCTCGTACTAGTTTTCCGTACTTTTAATAATAAAAAAATACTGTATATTCTCAATGATCGTGATCCATTAATTTCCCTAAAATTATATGCACAAATTTTTCTCAATGATTTTATCAGATTCTTCTGATAAACTTTGCATGCTGTTGGCACAGTCTCCATTTCGCATATTAAAGCTACGTCAACTCAACACTCATTATGTCGTAATGTCGAATAAATCACAAACACCTTCGTTCTCACTAAGATTGAAATGGTAATCTTTTTCCCCAGGAGGTGGACTTAATCTCATTAACGGTCCGCAAACTGCAAATGAAATTCATATAAGCATATTATACATGATTGACTGTTAAGGTACGTATGAAAGAAATATGAAGGTAATATTTATAATCCGATTTCTTAAATTCAAGATTGCTTCAAGTTTGATCATGGATAATCTTAATTTTAGTCTATAATCTGGATCTTTTTTTGGCACAAGCAAAATTTCATTTTCAAATTCCTTCGAAATAAAGGAGAGCAGAGTCTGATACCCTCTCCTGAATATCATGTAATATCGATTTAGAAATGTAACAGAGATGTTGAAAAATAATCCTTTCTACATTTTTTGAGAGTCTAGAATAGTAAAAGAAATTTGACCAGAAGACTGAACCAAAAAGACTCAGATTGCAGACAGAAGATATAAAAATAAGATTGCAGACAACAGGTTAAGATTCCAATCAACAAAGAAAATGACCGTACAGTCTCGTACTTAAGACAATTTTGAATAAATAATCAAACTATGAATAACTGTCCAAGATTCGACTTACAGTCAGAATACAATTGATCAAGAAACTCCAAATCTCTTTGGACAATATCTATAATTAAAAATAATTAAAAACATAACTTAAAAACTTTACATTATAATAAATATAATAAATAAAAGGAAATCAAGATAAAATAAATTTACCTGTGGTGCTTACATCACGTAAGACTATCTTAGCCTCTATTAATTCCGAATCTTCTTCTTCTTCATCATCAGTTATTACCGGACCTGGTTTAATGCTGTTTTTTGGTGGCCTAATGTTAAAAAAAATTAAATGTATTCCAATATAACTATAATCTTGAGTAATAAGACAATATATAAAAGTGTGCATTTTGTACCAAATGAATAGAATTAAACTTGAAAACTATTCATCCCCTTTACAAAATAATTTGGCAGTTGCCAATTATACTATTTGCTCTGTGCAGATCAGGAATATTATTTTATTATTCCTGACACGATTAGAGCATACACAGAGATTTATGTCCTTTTTATATTTCTGCTTACCTTCCAACTTTCCTCTTTGGTTTAACAGTAACTTCCTCTTTCTTCTCATCTTCGTTTCCGCGCTTTGTACCCTTTATCTCTTCTCGTAATCTCATTTCTAACACTTTATTATCATAAGTTTTAGCTAGCTCAGGTTGGACCATATATACTTTAATTTCTCCCAAATTACTTTTCAGAATCATGTTATAATTTATCACTGTATCGTCTTGTACGACAGTCTATCAAATGTAAAAAATAAGAATATGAAAGATAAATATATATTAATATAATCAAATATTTTCTAGACATGGAATATTGAATAGTTCAGCTTTAAAGAAATCAAGCAACAGAGGGATTTGATTTCCAGATTTGTTGTTTGTCATTTCTTGAAGAAGACTGAAACTTCCAAAACTAATATCACAATAAATAAGTTAAAAATAAGCCTAATCCTCCAGGTTGATAATGTCTTTTCACAAAAATTGCAATTATAATGCAATAAAATCAGTTTGAAAGCTTTAGTCTACCGAGGATTGCAATACAGTGGTACAAACATTTTCTAGATATCCTTTTGAATACCTTCAAGATATTTGGTACTGTTATTTCCAAGTCTGGAGGACCCTGTATTCCTAGTACAAATTGATCCACAAAGTTCTCTTTAACGTCTTCGTATGTGATATATGCATATTTCTTATTTATATTATCATCCTTTATATTCTTTATGCTTTGCTGAATCCATCGAGTATGGGTATCTAATAGCTGTTCATGATCCTCTAATTTGCTGATCTCTTCTTTTAGGTCTGTCAGTTTCTCGCCAACCTCCTGTGTATTGCAGCCAGGTCCTGCACCCCTTTGAACACACATTCACAAAGTAATAGCGCATGTCGCAGGAACGAGATAGCGCCATTAGAATGGGTTATATTTATACATTTTTATCATATGACAAATTTTTCAAGCCTGTTGATTGGCTATAGAACAGAGAGATCCAAGAACCTCTCTGTCCTGGAGCCTTTGTCATAGGATAAAAACGGATAAATGAAATATCTTCCTTAAAATGAAAGAAAATAATGGAGTGGCACTTACTTCCATTGAATGCTGTTCTTGCTCTTCTTCTCTATAAGACCAATACCCTCAAGGACGTTCGTAATGTCATAGATGCGCCGTTTTTGTCGTACCTCCAGAAGGTCCGCGGCCTGTAAAGTTCGTGAGTTGTCATTCGTGTTGTAAATTAGCAGCCTCGATTAATCATAGAGGCGCCCTACTGAGAGTTCCGCAATCCTTATAGGTTAAGGTAGGATCGCGTGTTAACGACATTGTAATGCTATCGGTATGTCGAGCATACCAAGCATCGGCCCATGGCTCTGCGGCAAAGGGCGGTAATGTCCGTATAACCGGGGAAAGTCCGGAGGTACGGACGCGATTCCCTTGCCGCGCACTTCTTTCAAAATTCCCGCAACCCAAGTATGACGTGTACGGCCGCGATCACTTAACCTAGTAAGGTTAACTTTTTCGGAGCCATCGCGAAATCCCGAGTACTCACGACTTTCAAATCCAGCACGCCGTCCTTCGCTTTCTGGAGCAAAGACACGAAACGAGTAGTCAGCAATCCCAACGACTTCTCGAATCGGCTCTGTTGATTATCTGCCATTATCTCGGTCGTTGCGAAAATTTTCAAAACTTGCTAGTCTCTTCGAAATTGCCGCAACGCCACGGACGCCATCCTATCGAGCGCCTAACGGCTATTCAAATATGAGCGCGTCTCTGCTGTTGGTAACGATTTAAACGAAAATTCCAAATCCGATAAATCGCAGTCAGAAACATTAGAGAAAACTCTAATGGCCTAAAGCCTGTTCTACAATGTGCTCTTTGTTTTCTGTTTCTTGCTTTTTACCTTTTGCTTTTTTCTCCTTTACAACCGTTTTATCGACAATTGTATTTTTTGCTACGTGTTTCTTGTTTCCGCCGAAGTTCGTTAACTTTTATCTCGGGCGACATAAAACAAAAAACTCGGATAAGAAGCAAAAAGATAAGATGCAAAAAAATAGCAAAAAGCACATTGTAGAATAGGCTTAAGACTTGAACGGGCCCACACTTTAGATGAGACCCGTTTATCGACGTTTTATGTGCACAAAACCCGCAAATTAAATTATTCATAATCATGGATATTTCCCAGAAGTATTTTTTTTAATGCGAATATGTTCATTCTAAAGATGAGACTTGCTCTGGATAAAATATATACCCATGGGAGCACGCGAATAAAAAAATAAATTCGAGTATAATAAAAAATTTTATTACTCATGCAGGATTTTTGCATTTACGCGCATATGCTCTTGTAATAATATCTAATTAACAAAGGCGAATTTATTTATTGTTATATAACTAGAAAAAATTGTAAATAATCATTTAATTTTTATTATCGCGTATTATCTGCGGTGTATCGCAGTGCCAATTGGTGTTTTATATATCTATTTAATGAAATATGCTATTTAATGATGCGCTTATTAATGTTATTTTTATTATTATATACATTTGTAATATATGTTTATAAAATGTTTATAAAATAAATATATTTATAAATATTATGTATATATACATATATATAATATTTATAAACGTATGCATTAATGTATATATAAAGAAATTTACATATTATTGCTTCTCAATTACTTATAAGTTGTTATATAAAATATTAACAATGATAGAAATAAAATTAAATGCATTCATCAATAATGTATGAAATATTTCTATTCTAAGGAAACAGAAGTTCATTGGTGACAGTTGGCTCTGGGCTTTGACTAGAACTTGCAGAGCTGAGAGTTTCGTCTTTAATTTTTAAAGCGGATGAATCCTTGTCCTTGCTTTTATCCTTTTCCTTTTCCTTTTCCTTATCTTTACTTTTATCCTTATCCTTATCTTTTTTCTCTTTATCTTTATTATGTTTGTGATCATGTTTATGCTTATGTTTGTGTTTGTGCTTCTTCTTATCCTTCTTTTTCTTTTTGTTCTGCAAGAACAGCGAATGCGCATTACAAATTTAATATATTTAACATTTCTAATATCACGAAAATGATTCATGTACAATGATATTTTCTACTTTTTGAAAAACTTCATTTACCTTGTTGCTGGAATCATTTTTCGGTTTATGCTCTTCTGAATCTTTTTTAAACATCCCAGGTTCAAAACCTACAGGACCAGGAGTTCCCATGATACCAGGAAGTGATGCAGAATTGTCGCTGTAATACTCGGATTTTACTTTTCCTTCACTAGGTACCGGAATTCCCCGTTCATCCTGTTAAAATATAAAACCATAAATTTAATTTATCCAACAATAAGGGAAAAGGGATATAAAATCATTTTTCATACAATGTTTGTTTTTTGTCGTTTTTGTTCTGGACCATGTTCCACTGGATTTGATGAAACTGGAGGATCTCTGTTGGGAGATAGTTTCCTCTTGTTACCAACAGGTAAGTTCTCGATTGGTTCTTCGATTGATTCGTGTTTCACATGTTGTACCGGTGCAACTTTTACCTGAGCAGCATACCAGGATTTAGACATTGTTATTAAAAAATGTTTTACAATCATCTAAACAGACGTTATTATAAGTAAGTCTTACTTCACGTTCTGGACTTGGTGGACCAGCTTTCTTAGGCTTCATGATCGTCGCGATTTCGGGAATAGGAAGACAAAATGGGACTCTCACACCATATAAAGAATAGTACAAATCCACCAAATCGCAACGCAACTTTGCATCGTGCGACAGCATGCCGCTATAAATAAAATTAGATATGTTAATGATACGAAAAAAAAAAGATTTACAAGGAAGATTGAAAAATTGTCATACTTAATTAAATTCCATATACGGTCAACTAGATCTGGTTTATCTAAGCGATGTTTATGAGCTCTCTCAAATGGTGGATTTTCTACCATTAATCGTACGAGTCTATGACGTATACCAGGATGTGGATCCATTTCCGCCATATCTAATAAGAATTCCAAGTCTTCCCATTTGCCGTCCACGCGAGTAAAATCCACTAATGCTTCTAAAGCTGCTATTCGAATGTCTAAAAAATGTTAATTGATTGTAAAAAATTTCAGCAATTCAGAATATAAATATTGATATGAAAACCCGTGAAACACATAATTTTCATATAGGAAACACCCGTGGAAGCCTCAAGAATATTATAAATATTGATATCATTTTCGAAGTCTAGAGCAAACTAGCGTACCTATAAATTGTCCATATGCTGCATATGCTCTAAAAAGATGAGGATTGCTTGGAAGATGACCAAATTTTTGAAGGATACGTATAACTTTAAGACAAGCTACACTAACAGTATATTTATAACAGGGTAATAATTTCTCTAAGTTTAAATTTCTTGTGACTTCTTCTAAAATAGCCTTTGTGTCGATTGATAGAGATTCTGCTGTAATAGCTGTTCTGTAATGATACATTAAGAAATTATTTATCTGCTTGTCATATTGTTATCTATAATTTATATAAAAAAAATCAGATGTTTATACCCTTGTTGTACACTGATAACCGGTGTAACAGTTGCACCAAGAGCTTCGATTAGTGCGGCTCTGTAATAATTGTCGGAATACCTATTTTTGCTGTTATCATTATATTTAAAAAGATCCATTAAAAAGGCTAATACTTCTGGTGGACAAATACCATGGGCATTACGTAATCCTGCCATTGCAACTGGTATAGTCTGCACAGATATATAAAAGTTCAGAGAAAAGATACTACTAAATAATTCTGATGCGACGTAAGTACATGTTAATTAACCCGTACCTTTTGTAGAAAATAATGTTGAAAATTCGAGAAATTGTTCTGTTTAATAATCCGCCGGCACGACGCAGATCCAAACAATTTTCTAAATATGGCCAACATTGCTGGTGGACCTGACCAAGTTGCTACCATTGCATTTCCTACCTATATGTATATATTTGTAAAATTTAATTAAATATACAAAGTGCGAGCGATAGTATAGTAGACAGCGCACTGCTATATCAGAGATCCTGGATTTGATCTCCGGCAGAACCGAAAATTTTCGTACGCTTGTACAACTCCTTTCGAAAAGTAATAGCAAACCACTGAGTAGTATACTACTTGCCCAGGAAACCTCCCTATCGATGTTTAAACTGTAGATTCCCATATACTTTGTGTATGATCAATATGCATGCAAAGGTATACGAGAGAGAGGCGCCTATGCACTGATGACAGCGTATAGCACTTGAAGAAGAAGAATTAAACATTGGTGTTTAATAATGACTAACCTTTGTCAAGCAATGAGCAGCGCGAAGTCTGACTTTATAGTAACAATGTTCATTCTCAATTGTATCAGTCAGTGCTAATCGTGTGGCAGGTGTTGAATGATGCTGTAAAGCTTCAATCGCTTCTAATTGTGCAGTGACGTCTCTTTCATGTCTCAATTGATACTGCCATTGATAATCAGGTTGCTCAATTTGCACAGCGCGCATGATTGTCATTTCAGGATCAAGTCTGATCCATAATACTGGAGAATCACTATAAACAATATTTTTTTTAAATAAAACGGCCATAATGTTTACGGTTTTTACACAAAGTTTATAATTAAAAAAATTTTCAATCTTACTCCATAGCAGAAAGATCCATATCAACTTCTTCACCAGTACACAACGGAATTTTCTTTTTTTTGTTTCTACGACTTTTACTGTGACACGTAATATCTGCTCTGGCCATTGTACCTTCAATTTGTAATGTGTGCTTGAAAGTACCATCCAATTCTTGAATATTGACTACTAACGGACCCACGTATTTTCTAATTCCTCTTTGATGTGTAGTGTCTTGCCTAATTTCTAACTCCACTGTATTTCTATAACATATGTATATATTATCATATTACGTATATACAGGGTGAATGTTAATACATGTCTGTACCTTTTACCATGGGAAGTGAATTATCGACTACAGTTGTGATCATCTAAACGGTGCATAGACTTCTTTTCAATTTGAAAAATTTCATAAATTCAAAGAATTTAAAAAAGTGAATTCTTTTTGAGTTTATAATGATAGCTGTCTAAGCGACAGTCATCTATGCACTGTTTAGATGATCACAGCTGCAGTCAATAACTTACTTCCTATAATAAAAGATACAGACATGCATTAACATTCGCCCTGTGTATATATATATGTTATTTTAATTTTGATACTATCTAAGATAATGCAATTAAATGAACTCAAATGAAAAAATACCTTTTTCTATTAAATACGAAACTTAGACTGAATTTTGCATGTCCTCCCGTTCTCACCCATTGATCTATAAATACTGACATATCTTTCCCTGTTACAGTAAAGATAGCTTTAGCAAATACATTTGTACTAATTAACATATGCGACCACAGGCCAGACTCAATCTTTTGCTGTGCAGCATTAGCCGCTAAAGACAATTGTTTATTAAATACCTATAAAAAATTAAATATATAATTAACAGTTAAATTAATACTATTACGCATTTAGAGAAAAAAAAATTTAC